TTCCAGGCACATACGAGTTCAATTCCATACCACAATCAAGTTAACACTGTATGTTCCCTTCAGTTGTTATGAAAATGCTGTATATATCAACAATAAATTTGTATTTGCATCAAATCTTATGTAAATGCCTTGAAATTATCCTCTGTCTCTTTAAGAACCTCCTACCATTTCTGACACTTCCACTTCACGTCTTCACAATGCTCCAAGTAAGAGGTGCTGTGTGGGGCAGGAGCTCAGCTGTGGACTGAGCTCCGGGGAGGAGGTTGATTATTTGTTTGTTTGATGAGAGAGTGACATTATAACATGATATAAACCCCCCTATATATTTACTATTTTTTTTCTCAGCTGAATTTTGACTCCTAAGCAAAATATAAAGAAGACTGTTCAAAGCTAACTGACCTTTTGCCATGGAGAGCATGTCTTGTTGCCGGGGTGGCGGCGTACCTGCATACTTGCCACCTTTGTTTTTTCGCACAAAGCATGCCATGAGCGCAACGAGGGTGAGCAAGGCCACAGCACACATGGTCCCTATGAACCAGCGCTGAGTTGTAACGTCGTCCATCCGACTGGATACACCTGAGAGCAGAAAGCAACAAAAGAAAGACAAAAGAGCTCAAGGATTAATTGTACACACTGGTATTTTTTATTTTATCTTTTTTTTTTTAGCATGAGCCTTCCTCCTACAAGTGTATCTTGGAGCAAGAACCAAATAAAAAGGATGTTTTCGCAATGTTATACACTTACATTCCCTTCAGCTGTTACACGGTTTCTCTTCTGACAGAATATTAAATAAGGAGAAAACAAAATTTTGTGAAAAATGCACATTTCACCACAGTCAGTAAATCACAAAGTTGGTTTGTCAATGAGCCTTGATCTTCAATCACACACCTCTGGCAGTAACAACTGCTGGCCCCTCACCTGTGACTTGTGTCTGGATAACGTCTTCGAAAATGCTAGCATTGTCAAGTAGCTGCTTAGCCACAAGCCGTACGGTGTACAGTGTCCCGGGTTTGAGCCCATCAATAATGTGGAAATTTTGGGAAGTGTTTACAGCCTCTGAGAAGTGCCAGTTACCATCACCTAAACAGCCAAGAAGAAGGAGTAGTACACAGAAAGTACAGTACTAGCTTTAATGTAAGCATAGAATACAAGTTGTTACCAAGAAATAAATGCTTCTTAAGCTATCAAACAAATTTGTAGCACTAAAAATTTAGGTACATCATCATACATTTAGAGAAAATCAGTGAGACGATGAAGCCTAAAAACTTCTACGTACACTTTACTTGATAATATACCTACACTTAATGTCACCTAAAGCTCCAATCAATGTTTAGCAAGTCAGGGACAGGAAAAGTAGCTTACGGTTATTCATATAAGCCACATAAAGCTGAAAGTCCTCCTGCTTCTCTCCGGTAGTCCAGCTGATTTTAGCAAAGGTGTCACTCACATAAGAGCTTATGTTCAACAGAGCTGGAACTGATAAAAAGAGAAGAAATAGAAGAAGGAAAAGGGGGGGAAAAACAGACAGGAACAGAGAAAAGGAGAGAGAAGGCAGGAAAAGAGGATTAGCAGAGGCAAACAGGATCCCCCGTAGCTTGAGAACAGCGTGTCTTGCAAAAACCCCTTTAAGAAGACAGTTCAAAAGCCAAGTATGGGCCCCAGACCTAATTGAGTGGAGCTGGATTTGGGGCTCATGAAGAGCAGATATATAGACCTTAGGAGGGTTTGACATCCAGACTTCATTCTGTATTAAGCAAAGCTGACATTTCCTGACACCCAGCAAGAGCAGATATGAGAAGAGATTGAAACGACTCCCCTGTCTCAAACCTTATTGTGACTAGACAAGTTCAGGTATATCGGGTTCAGATCACATGGCTGTGAGTGTGTGGGTGTGAGCAATGTACCTAAAGGAAAATGAGAAGAATTGCCTGTGATCGAACTGGGAACAGATAGGGAGCAGTTGAGATCTGCAATGAAAGAGAAAACTTCAGATGTTAGATTCCTGCTACAATGCTGTCAGTTCTAATAGCGTGCAAAGTGCAACAAGCGAGCACTACGGACTACACGAAGACGGAGACGTTAAAGCAAGTGGGGAAAATTGTGTTAATGGCAAGAACTACAAAAGGAAACACTTGCAATAGACACGCAGCGAGGACGGCAGAAAATCCGAACTGGAAACAAACCACAACACTCACGAACTCTTTTTTTTTTTCTTAACCCCCTACAATTATATATTCAAGCACTACCAAGATTTTGTTTTAACAAACCATAAAGGACAATCGTTTGCTGAGGCTACAACCAGCTACACCAACAGCACGCCTACAACCTTGTCTATCTCCAGAGTAGCTGCATCAGCTGCAGGCAGTGATACATACTGTTCTGAACAGGGGCCACAGCTGGAGACCAGGACCGATCTTCAGAGGGAAGAAAAGGAAAATGAAATACAGCAGAAGATTACAGATATGTGGAGCGCCAGCTTCAAGGTTTTTATAGACCAGGCAGGCCCCGACACACACATCATTTAGCCCTCACACACACCAACGCGCACTGATAAATTTAGAGTTTGGAAGGAAACTTTACTGCTATATGTGCTTTATATTGTTAAATAATACATTTCAGAAGCTGTAACTTTTCACAAGAGAATAAGTAAAAGATAAACATCAGATTTCATATAATTCATCTGTAAAAAATTAATTAACTGGATCAATTTTGTCAATAAAATAGGGACATGTTAAAAAAAGAGATAAAATATGTTTTAATGGTAGACAATTTCAGTTTTACATCAATATTTTTTCCATGTTCAGCTTTCTTTTTTCTGTCCTCTTTGTTTTAGCCAATATTTCAGATTTTTTTCCCCCTCTTTGTGTAAGAAGCTTCGCAAACAAATACATCTGGTGGAAACACAAAACATCTACCATTAAAGGCTCAGTCAGTCACAGGAGTGAAATCTAAAAGGAACACTACAGAGCCAAAGATCACTCATTTATATGCATTCATTTTGTATCAGTGTCACTCTATTTCTCCACATTTATAGCCCTAGATTTATAGAGGCCCTGCTCTGTGCTCCTTGTGTCCATAAATCTCTGCATTGCATTGTGACCAACATGCCCTGAGGACAACTCTTTGAAACAGAACTATTTTATCTCTACCCATCAAGCCTCGGCCCAACCACATTTGCAAATGATGCATCTAAAGGCTCAAGCTGGACATCCACCAATGCAACAAACCTCTGCATCTGCTGGGATATATATACTGTGTGTGTGTGTGTGTATATATATAT